TTGTCACGCATTACGCACCACAAGCGATCTTATCATTCGTTGGTAACAATCACAACCTTTACCTTTCGAAAACCTCCAGAAAAGCTTTTATTACGTTGCTTATCTAGCATTTACCTTCATGCCCTTCACCTTAATACCGTTAATGCACATATGTTTACTAATTTTCGCAAATGTAAGGACACATACCCTTGAAATTCGCAAAAAATGAAATTGCCATGAACCGTAACGTTTTTTACGCTAACAATTCGTAACCTTTAAGTAGGTGATAAGTGATAACACTAATATCCTGACTATTGCAAAATCAATTACATAAAACAATCAAAATCAATTTGTCTCCAGTCAAGTGTCAACAATAAATTGAGCAATATAAACGCGCTGGCACCAATTTCAAATTTTATGTCCCGAATTTCGAGTGCGAATTAATTGATATTAAAACCAGCTGTAATTGATCTTAATAGATTTAGATTACATGGATACTAATATTAAAATTGAAACTACGTACTCAAGCATGAGTGTGTTGCAATCGACTGGTAATTAAATGTTTAAACATTCAATTTAAGCATTATTCAAGCAGGTATTACCCATTACTAAGTTTATTTCTCAGAGAAATCAAAAACTATAAAACTTTCATGTGAAGTGAGGTGAAATCCTTTATACGCAACACATCCTTCAAGGAGTCAACTCTTTCAAACATTTTCGCACGCAATAAACAGTTCTAGCGCTTTTGTTATTTTTTGTTGTACTATACAAGATGTTACATAAAATAAATTGATCTGCGGTGTTAATTTATGAGGTTTTTTTTTGTATTATACTGTAGTCAAGTGATGGTAGATGGTTTTTACCAAAGTACTGAAACTAGGTGCAATTGACGTCAATGCGCGGCGAAATTTAAAGACGTGCACGAAAACACTATCAGCAAAAACAATCGCTGAACGTGTGGCGCTAAGTGATGCTAACTGACAGTAATGAAAAGTGGCGCATAATCGTCGGCATAATATTACCCACTTAAGAGTATGAGTATAGTGAAGTCATTGATTAATATTTACTTTCTTTTCAAGGATGACAAATTCGTTTTTTACGGATTTCACTAAATAAAACTATCTAGTTCACATATGGCGACATCTATCGAAAATTTTAATGATCTATAACATAAAAATGAATCGATAAATCTGTTGGAAAGCGCATAACTCAACCACGCGTAGACCAATTTGGCCAATTCTTTTTTTTAATGTTTATTAAAGTCCAAGGATGGTTTTTACGGCGAGAAATATTCAAATAATTGCCGGGAAAACCCTAAAGACTGCGCTTTTCTATAAGGTAAAACTTGGCATTGAGATTCAATCATAGTTATAGTTAAATAGTTGTGCATTATTAACAATTCTTTATATAATTAATTTCTTTAAAAAAAAATTGCAAATTTTATTGATAGAATTGTCACATACTATGTCTAGAACAAGAGAGTAAAAACGAATTACATTTTTATTAAACACTACCGAGACAAAGTCGCGTGCAAAAGTATTTTATAAAGTTTTAATTTTATTGCCGCAAAAGTTATCAAAAAATGTAATTTAAATTGTCAAACAATTTCATCAGTATTTTCAATATTTTTTATTTACATTTCGTGTACTTTAGTTGATTAATTCCGCAAATAACTCAATCGAAAGTATGCAACCGCACACGATGTTGGCGCAAGTTAATTACGGGAGTTTTAATTAATTTTCGGTGTCGTCACGGCGCGCTCGAGTTACGTCACAATAACGGCGACAAATATTTGCGAAATTCCTTAACACCCACCGATAATACTCGGAATTAATCACATCGACAGCAAATTATGCTGAATTATTCCGTATTACTCATGACTGTCACACGGTGTAAAGAATACTACATTAATCCAGTGTCAAAATTGAATAATCAATCGATTTTCAAACATTTGTGCGCAAAAAATGTTTTATCACAATTTCTAACAAAAGAAAATAATATTTATAATGCTAATTCAAAAGAAAAGTATTTTCTCATATGGAGAAAGTGGTAATAAGGTGAAAATATTGAGTTGTTCACTTTTTGCGATGTTACTCACAAATCAAGACTAACGACGAATGCTCGTGATTTAATTATAAAATTACTGCGTCCCAGATGCACGGCGAACTTGCGTAGCTCATGAATACATTAATAGGTCGATAATTCACTCGGGCACAAATGCAAATTTCATTCTAATTGATGCGAGCGCGACTCACCGCTCAATTAATATTTATGCGCAACTTGTTCGCAACGTCGCAATGCGCTTAAAAGCCTAATATTTCAATTTTCATCCGAAACACAAGCGAATTTCATTCGAAATTTAATTACCAGCGTATTTATTTTCAGTTTTATTAATTCACCGTTGTCGAAAGTATTTTCGGAATGTTTTCAATAACAAATGCGCCAAAAATAGTTGCATCGTTTAATTCAAAATTGCGGACGCCGAAATCAAATAAATATCTCGTCGCAGGTTTTGTGTGTGGTTCACGAGGAAAAACATCGTTTTCATTCATTAACGATTGAAGCGCATAAATTAACAATGTGTGCGCAAACACCACACACAAAAGTTTAGCGTGAGGAGCCGCACGGATTTACGCGCATTTAATGCAGTTAATGCTGTTTTTCATCCTTCGTGCAAGGATGCGGGTATTTTAAACAAAACAAGCGTCTGCGTACTATTTCCACACTTCCTATTATAAAATGAACTTTATCGTCGTCACAAGGATTGTTTTCGGATAACAAAACACTTCTCGGTTCACTTTAAGGACGAAAAAATTGATTTTGAACAGAATCAATCTGTGAAATGTTTTGTTTCGTACTCGAATACAATATGAACCATCAATCATGACAATTGATCGCAATTAATCTCAATTAATCACTCCATGCGCCATCGGTTTGTTTGCGAGCCTTGGGATTGAGCGCAGCCATAATTACTCTTATGTAAACATTCATTAAACAACAAATTAAGCAAATAACCGCAACCGGATACTTAAAATTTACTATTTAAACATTTTTTAATTTGTACACACGTAGTTTACTAGTTAATAAAAGTGGCATATTGACTAGTATTACCAAATAGAGTAAATTTTCGAATGTGCGTCGCACGCTGAAACGCAAATGCAAACATTGCGAAACGATTAAACACGAATTTGCGGTCGGAGGATGGAAACACACGTAATGCAACATCAAATAAACGGTGAAGTGAATCTGGTCGAATCGGACAATCCAAGCGCGAGTGCATAATCTGTTGACATGAAACAAAATGGCCGCAATTGTCCGTAGATAGATTGTCTGCGATATCCGCTTTGGTAAACTAATTTCGCTGAGTTTTGTGTGTGGACACTGTGTATATGGAAGCGAAATTAGATTGACTGTGCGGACCAATGTGTTCGGTTTGGTTTGGTTTGGGTCATCGAGTACGCCATCAACTGGATTGCCAATTGACGCGAGGGCATGAGTTTTCATTCGCTTCCCTCGAGGACTGAATGATATTCGCGTTTGATTAAAATCTAAATTAAATTTTATCAATTTATCAAACAAAACACATAAAAATGCTTTAAAATCTAAAAAAAGTTAATGATATTACTCTTCATGAGTAAACGCAAAGATTTTGTAGCAAAAAGTCTATAAAAAATTACTTGACGGTCTTTAAACTTCCTCCCAAGGGTAAGCGTTGAGCCTTTGCGGCCCAAGATGAAATTATCGATTCGTATAATATCGCTGGAAAACCGAGATGAAAGTAAAGGTATGACAAGGACAACTAAAACGTCTACGTGCTTTCCAGCTTGCCTGCCACCTTGGCAACTCTAGGTATCAGAATGGATGACGTCGTTTGAACGCACGACGATCACTCCTACACCATTACCTAGGGGTGGCCATGGCAATGCCACTGCTCTGAAGCTATTTCGGAAGGTAGATGGAATGTGTCAGGGAATTTCGAGACGCTTAGTGAGCTGCCACCACAAGCGGCTTACACACCCTTATATTAACATACAGAAAGTTCAGAAAACGTTCGCGTTTCACACGCCGGTTCAGTTTCACACAGGAGTTCACAGCACTTCGGGAGGTATTTTCTGATATCAAAAGGACTCGAGTTTGATTGAGACGTTTGAACTTGAAAAGCGTGCTGGGTTCTTTTATACTTTTAATTATAAAAGTGGACTTGACTGGACACGACAGTTTTTATTATTCAATTTAAAGATAAAAACAGATATATACAGAATAAAAACGCATAGAACGTTGAACTGAAAACAAAATGGGAATTCATTGAGCGCTGCGGGTGAAACTTGGAAATTGGATGGAAGCGACGCGCAAAAATAAATTGGAATAAATGAATCGAAAAAAGGAAACCAACCGGACCGTGAACCATTTTCGTCCGGTGTAAATATTCGCGTTTGCAAGTCTTCCTAAACGTTTCAACAAATAATGTCATTTTTTATTTTTTAGAATTTTGTTTTTCTCAGATTTTGGTAAATTTTAGGCAAAAATTCTCTAGGAATTGCTTGTATTTGATTTTCTAACAATTGGGATATAGCATCCTGCGGTCGACGTTCTTTGAACATTGTACAATGAATGTTTGGCGTGTTTGCGTTTTCCGAAACGTCGGAATCAGCAGAAACCGCTTTGAGGCTTTCGCGGCTTTTCCCGAAAACACTGGCACACGTTGACCTAAATTATGAACTCGGAAAACTATTAAAACCATTAAAACATCAGACGCGTGTAATTTACGTTTCACGTGTTTGCTAATGTCTCATTCTCCCAGTTTCCCAGCTCCTCATTTTCCGCGTATTTGCTCGTTTGCTGTTTCGATCATTTCCTCATCGACTAATGGATTTTCCTCGTCATTCTCTCTATCTATATTAATATTTGTTTAAATTGCTGCGCAGCATTTTAATAACATTCCTTTGACTTTGTCAATATTATTCACGCACTAATAAAACCCAATATTTCTTCCTGCACCATTAAAAAAATACAAATCTTACCTTTAGTGATGCCATGTCGGAGACGGAACGATGCGTCTGGATGGTTTCCAATTGGTCGAGACACCAATCCAGCTCCTCCATCGTTTCGATCGCCATTTTCATATATGATTCATCTGCAACTTTTAAACCTCCTATCAGTATTCATAATAATAATCCCTGCGAGGTTTTGATCAAAATATTTATCATATTTATGACGACACTTTGGTTGCTTACAGCTATAGTAAAATTAATCAAGCGTGTAAAAAGCACAGGTGAATCAATGGTGTCGTCAAACATAATCAACGCGAGGGGACACAAAATGCCATCAGACACACGCACTACAGGTATCATCTGACATCATGAAAACAAAACAAGATATAGGCATGTTTTTAATAAAAAAAAAAGCGCGAAGCACGTGTTATTGAATCGACAAACATAAACGAAATTGCGCGTCCATATCGAGTGATCATAAATTCAGAATGCGAGAGAGCTGTGAATAGACCAAACATGAAATTCGGTTCGTTCGGTTTGCGAAAACAAACCATCAATCTATTTTCAGCCAGTCAATTCACAGACGATTCAATGCACAGTGGTAAACACGTGTGGCGCTGCATGTTTATATTGTATAACTTTTAATTGCACTCAAACTACAGGTGTTATTTATTATTAAACATTAAAATCATTATTATGCGGTAGCAATAATTGTGGTAAATTTCTATTGACGCCGAATGCGTAATTATGAATTTCCACTGTGATTACATTTGAATGTACTTTTTGCAAACTGAAATTGCCAACTTAAATTTCACTTTTAATTAAAACTTTAATTACGAAACCAAATACAAACTACTTCTGCCTGTTTGTCATTAAAATTTCAATCTCGCGACTAATTGCGACTAAATTTAGACGCAACTTTCGAAAGTCTACAAAATTTACGGATGTTAATTGAAATATAACTCATTTAGGTAACACATCCCATCACGTGAATGGAAATCAAATATATGAATTTAATAAGTAATCAGATATTGTTTGATGCTTACCGCCAGGATTAACATTTCTCGGTTGTGGGGTGGCTGTTGAAGTGGCCCCCGACGAACGACGAGACCTGTAACAATCCGAACGCATTAATATAATCCCATATTGATTAATGCGACTGCTGTCGAATGTTAATTAGTCAATTAACGGCTTACTTATTAGTGGGCACATTGGTAAGACTTTGAAAATTGTTTCGGACGCTTCGCAGACTGGCGAGGATTTGTGCGAACGGTGTGACGATGAGATCTTCTCCATGGCTGTAAACAACAAATGTATATTTATTTATATTCAACAATTTATCAGAAAATCTTTAGTAGAAAAGAAAAAAAGATGATATTGAACGTGATTATTCTTATTTTTTGTACCTAGAGTTGTTATTGTCTAAAATTCCCATTACATAATAAAAAATAAAATAAATAGAGAATAAATATTTAGAATAACGAGTATAACTGACAGGTTGTAATAAATATGTCAGATATAATTAATGTGTCAAACATTAATTTTAAATTTTTAGTTTTTTTAATAAAATTCCGGCTCCTCCACCATTTTTTGCTTTTATCTTCAATTATACACTGTGTTTACCTCCTTGTTTACGTTAATTAATCATATCCGCTTTTGTCACCAAGCACTTCCCAATAAATAAATATTTGAGTGTTTTATATATAGCCACAAAGATAATTAACAAATTGTTTTTTAGTTGAATGCTTTTAGTGAACATTCAGCAGGTCTAAAACCAATCAATTTCTTTTAATTGGTTATTCAAAAATCAATTGACAATGTTTTATCAATAGATACAAAAAACAAATTGTCTATTGCATTGAATATAATTTAAAAGATAAAATTTAAATGATGTTTATTTCGTGATTAGTTTTAGTCCGTTATTAATATCGTAACGGATATGAACGGGGGCTGAAACCTGAAACGTAAAGCGTGTTCCATCGAAATATTTAATGTGGATGCCGGTTCAATAGTCCGCAATCGCGTGGGCTACTTTTACGTGTATTGATCCAGCAACCGAAAATAAATAATTAGGTACTGCATACGCCAAAGGACAAACCAGAGAAAAGACGCAGTTATAGTCGTAGTTTTCGAAAACTCAAAATTCCGCCTTTATTACATAAGATGCTTAAAGATCCTTGAGCTTTTCATTCGCGTATTTAAACGCAAACATAAATTCTAATTAAAACCGAATTTGTGTTTGCGTAATTAAGACTTTTACAAGTTTTCGCCCGGCCGTATTTACCTTTTTAATAAATTATTTGGCAATGGGTTAAAGCTCAGCACGCGCTCTCATTGAATTGGCGTCGAACTCATCGAGAAATAAAGATTTTAAAGCGAAAAAACCACCGCGCATTTATATAAATACGAAATCTAATTACGGGAAACCTTCGTGCACTTGTTTAATTACGCAGAGATTTGTGTGGAGATAAAAAAGAGAGCAGCCAATTAAAAATAATTAAAACCGACTTTCGAGAATTCCCGGTTTTCACACGAAAAATCTATAGATAACTATAGGCAACCCACCGACAAATCAATACTCAAACAATTTACTACTTTGCAATATTGGCTGCCTATATTATAATATATATGTACATATGCATAAAAACATTAACACATATGTACATATAGTGTTTTTCATGTTGTACTCGATTTCCCAATGTTTTCCAATTATGAAATGCTCGCGAACGCGTCGTTAACGAGCGCTGAACGCGCTCCAAATTGCTCGCATATGTTAGAAATGCACTAAACATACGCGAGTACAATAACAAAACGCGCTAGACGCCGACAATGCTGTTGATACATAATAATACTCAGCGTAATGGACGCGCATGTGACACGAAACAAATCAAGACCTACGTGACAAACAGCATGTATAGGATTTTCCTCGCAGTTATTTCCGTGATATGAGTGAAAAAAAAAACTCGGAATAATTATCCTCCGACGGCGTTTTACATTGAACAGCAAACACTGCTGTGAAATTTGAGCAAATAGCAATCGAAAACGTGTTTGTTTTTTTGCGTTGAAATATAAATCAAAATAAAATTACATTTTTTGGCATTGGAATTTGAAGATTGCTTTTTACACACTCAAATAATAACATTTTAAGCAAATATTTAAACTATACTAAAATATTTACAGGAAAAAAAATCACTGTCTCTTCACGTTGAGATGAAAAAACACAAACCAAACAAAAGATATAAAAGCAGTAGACACAAAGCCGCATGGGAAATTTTTTCTGGTTACCATTCACAACATTTCTTTTCTTTTTCTGCTTTTTTATAACAACTTACAGATCTCGTTTGCTGTGCGCCTGAAAAAACTTATCCCAAAACGAAGTGCGCCCCTTGATGCGCAGCACAGAGGTAGAAAGTGTGCGCGGTAGCGACGGGGGATGTTCAGCCGCGACAACGGGCTCCTCCGCTGACGGCGGCGAAGAGGAAGCCGCAGCCATCAGCAGCGAAGGGCTGGAGCAGTTGCCGACAGCCGCGCGTGATAATGACCCGCGATGCGAGCCGGTAGCAGCGGCGCGCGAGGTCGGCGACGGCGGCAGCGACGACCCGCCGCCACCGTCGTCGCTGTCGCGCTCCTGCTCGCCTCCACCGACGGCGGCCGTAGCCAGATTGTCACCAATCACAAATACCAAAACCGCAACTACTTATAGAAAGTTTATTCACCACCACGATTATTTTTACTCAGTTTAGATTTAAATATAAACTATTTTTATTTATATTTATATTTCTATTGGTAACTGTGGTTTATTCATGACGGTTTGTTGTCATGTACAGTCAGTGAAATGTTTGTTTTATTCTGTTTTATGGTAGAGACTATTGTTTATCAGGTTAGTTTATCGCGAGCCATCGTACTGCTCGGCTGGGCCGGGCTGGGCCGCCGCCCGAAACTCCTCGGCGGGGCTTTTCTATTAATAAATTAAGGCGAAAAATAAATTTCAAGGACGCGTTATGCGCTACGTCGTTGAACAATGATAACCGCAAGCTGCTTATTGTAATAACCATAACCATCATCAAATCATATTGTTTCTATTGCAAAATAAGCCATTAAATATACCAAACGTACCGTTAAACTCATAAAAATCTAATAAACCTCAACTAATTTTTATTCTAAACACTTTGTATATATGTAAATTGCAGTGTACTTTATTAAGACGTTTCCTCCTGTCAAAATGTTGTTCTACTTATTTTTACCTACAAAACCCCCTGTATATCTAATAGTGTGACAGTGTAATTGACTTCTGATTACATAATTACACGCATGCGAGAAAGGAAAATCTCATTAGATGGCGACTCCGGTTTCGCTAGAAACTAATTTGTGTCCAATTTCAGTTTGCTTTTTGTTTTCCTCGATTTTTCGTTGGACACCAGCGCCAAATGAGCAAATAATTCGTTGAATTTCTTATTAATCTGTTCAGTTATTGACGTTTCTCCAAATTCAATGCGCAAAACTTTCTGTAACTAATTTCCCAAAGGATTAAGCATTTTTCCGAATTATTAAAATTTCATTTCAATATTTTTCGCGACGCAAAAATCTCTGGACTCTTAAATATTTCAACGTTTCATTCATAACACGGAAAATATTTTTTTTAATAAAAACATTCCAGAGATATTATGCTTTACAGCATTCAGCAAGTCGGAATTCCTGCCATTGTCTGGTTGGGATGACAATAAAAAAATGAAACAAAAACAAAACGAAAAAACAATGTCTTTCTAATTAAGTTATCTAAAAAAGTTATCGAAGACGGAAACCAGATAAAAACGGTCTCGGAAACCGGACATAAAAGTCAATCTCTGTTGTTTCTATGATTTTCACGTTTATTTTATTTTATTTTTTGCACGTTTCTCGCGCTTATGACATTTGGGAAACATTTTCTTTTCGCACGTTGTGATAAAACCAGTAATTTCCGAAATGGGCACTCACAGAACCCCTATACTCATTTACTTTATCTAACACAAATCTTTCTAAGAATTTCGAAATCTTTTTTCTACTTTCTACATCGTAGAGTTATGAAACAATTCATTGTTCTGGCTGAATACTTGAAAATCTTCATTTCAAAGAAAACAAAACCTGAAGCATTCATTGTGACATTGTCACAAATATTCTATATGAAAGAAGGAAAAATGTTCATTGTTTTCGCGGTGGTTTCTATAGTCTAGAATAGAATCTAGAACTCTCAAGTTTTTTCTTGTTTTGCACTCTTGGGGAATAATTGAAGCACTCTCTAGCACTCTGCGTGATAATTAGAACATCATTGTAGTACTCTCCTGCTTTTTAGAAAATAAATTTTTATAAAGTTGCAAAAATTTTATAGAAAATTGAGGTAATTTGGTAATATTGATAGTTATTATGTTACACATCGAATTTCATCAGAAAGCGCACGCCTTGCGTCGAGTCAAGGCATAATAAATCCAATAAGCAAACATTATTATGTAACATTATCGTGAATGCGTCGAAACGGATTAAATATAGACGCGTAGACGGAAATACTCAGGATAATACTTATACTAAACACGATTTTGTTTCCAATTTAAAATTGCGCGATATTTTTATCGAAAATATATTTGAACAATAACCAAATAGATTTTACGTGTTTGTGATCGTAATCTAATACGTGCTCGCAAAGTTAACGAGGATATTTGATAGTTTTGCAGAATAAGTTAATTTGCAACTTGCTTCACAGCGCTCCAGGGCTCATCAATTCCAACCTCAAGTGAAACTGAAGCTCACATAAAGTTAGAGTTTAAGTCAACAAACTATATAGTTGAGAGTTGATTTACGATTCAATCCTAAGCAAACAATTTCCTTCAAAAATTAGTTTTGCGAAAAAGAAATAAAAAATAACGAAAATTTAACTCCAGCGGAAAGTTTTTCGCCGCGGATATTTTTTGAAGTTAAATATAGTTTTATTGATGTATCGGTAATTAAAGTTTGATTGACGTCATATTTTATAGATGTTTACATCTTGCGGAAAAACAATTTACGATTAAATTTTGAGTTCAACTCGTCCTTGAAATTTATTTTTCCATATTGATAGAAACCTTTGTAAATTTTAAATTCACTTCTTTTTTAGTAGAAAACACTGTGCTGATGTAATTTAGTGGTTTTACTTTGAGTAGTGTTGGAAAAAAGTTCAAAGTCCACGATTGTTATTTATATTCTCTCATTTTTCCAACACATTATCACCAGATAGTGATTTTCTCGCCGGCGGAACGCGACCAACGACCGACGCACCGTCACTGCCGGAACGGCCGGAGTGGAAAACGCGCCGCCTTTGCCGCTGCCGCCGGCACTACCCCCTCACCACCGCTCAGCGGTGCACCGGGGTGGCAGCAACGCGTAGGCAATACACCAGCGCTTCGGACGCGCAGGCATTCATCGTCATCCTCTCGAGTGTGCCGGCGGCAGGAGAGTGGGGCGGCTGGGGGGGCTCGTAGGGGATGGAAACGCAAATAGGGAAGCGCGCGCGCGGGCAAAACGAGCGCTTTCCACCTTGAGCAAATCAAACTACCCTTATGCACACACACCGTTCAGCGTTCAACGCGACACGCTCCAAGGGGCATATTACGTCATGCAAATAGATTTAGATTTATTAGAAATCTTCAAATAATAAAAATGAAGTTTTTTGCAATTCGCGTGAATTTCAAGAGTTTCAAGACAAAATATCGCACGCAACCAGAATATAAGTATAAAATTCATAATTTCCTGTGCCATTGAAAAGAGGATTCGTATTATTCAATTTTTTTGGTTTCCTTTGAATAAACTCAGTTTTAGAAGAATTGAATATATGCTCCAACGCAGAAGTAATTCGCTTTTAATAATGATAATATTGATGCGCTGTGTGCACCCTGACATTTCATCATTTTCATCATTTCTCGCTTTATCCTCGACTGCTATTTCATCCATTCGGCTTACATTTTGTATTCACGGCCGCAGAAGATGGAAATTTTTAATTTTAATCTCGCTGACATTTTGACATTTTTTTTGCTTCTTCTGCGTCTTCCTACTTTCATTCCATGAAAATCAGATTCCAAAATCGGATTAGTTAAATGATAAAACATTATTTTTGTGTTTTTATTCCTTTTGTAATACAGATTCAATTTATTGTGACAAATGGTCACCATTTGTGGTAAATTATTTTAGGAGAAAATTATTCTATGACGTAAATAATTTGTTAATATTAGAATATTACTAATGATATTAGTAACATTGTGCAATCAAAATAATAGTAATTTCAGGAAATGTGAATCATAGACTGACGTGTTTTTGGGACTTAATATTTTCCCTTTCGTAAGCTGAATATTATACATTCAGAATTTTCCACCTTCAACGTAAAGAATCAAAAGTTACACCGAAAAAGATAATCCTAAGAATTTCGAAACTCAAATTGCATTAATTATAACTTTCCGCGCAACAATTCGGTTTCTTTTCATCGTAGCTTGAGTTCGTCATCCCCAAACTTTTAATGCTGCTGTAAAGTTGTTTGCACTTGTCCAGGGAGTGATACAAAGTTGTGTGGAAATGTCTACAAACGCCTAAACTGTCAAAGTAACTTTTAAACGCATTCTGTAGAAAAAGGATAACATTTTCTGAGAAGCAAGTTTTTAAAAAAATTTCTACATTTTTGAGAAATTGTGATTCCATTCCAGTGAATTCTAGAATTATATATACTCCAGAACAAGAGCTTAACGAGTAGAGGTGGAGAATTGGACTAAAAGCCATTCGTCGATGAGCGTATTGATTTTGGAAACTTGTGTACAAGCACCGGGATGTTATTTGGAGATTGGGACTCGAGCGCGAGCATCAAAAGCTTTGCCGCAGACCTTCGGTCGGATGATAGTTGAGGTTGACTATTGTGCGTCAACCATTCGGATTGTCGATTAGTATCTCTAATTAGTTGATATCTCGTTAGGAGCGAGCATTGGAACTGCATTTTTTTCAAAGAATATCACGTTCAAATATCTCATTGTATACCTACTATAAAATATTAAAAATACAAAGTGAAAAGTTTGTGAAAAACATCAAACAAAGTGCAGGTGAAAACAGAAAAAAATACAAAAAAGCTTCAAAGCTCCAGCAGGACACAGAAAAGAATAGATTGAACACAGTAGAGTTGTGTAAGAGGAAAAAATAGTTGAAAGTTAAAAGAGAGGAAAAAGTTTCTGAAATAATTTAATGAAAAAATTCATTGTTCTTTTTTTTCCTTCTTTAACATGGTTGTTAACACAACATTCCCTTGAGCAATCCGATTATTTTCTGTTAATTCTTTGCTGAATTTCTACGTCACTAATTTCTACGTAGTTATATACTGCTATTTTGTTGTAGAAACAAAACACAAATGATTAACTCAAAAACCAAACAACAAAACCAACGTTAATCAAAACGTTAAAAAAATTATTGTTATCATAAAGTACATACGATCGTTCCAAAACGGTTTCTGACTCCTTGAATCTGTAAAAATATCCAATGATGCACAATAAGTACGAGTACGTTGGCATACGCATTTTTCATCATATCAATATCACATCATATTATTACAAATCATATCATATCAAATTACTATGCCCAGGCTGCGTGAAAATCATATCGATATCATCCCAAAATGACATGGATCCATATAGGAGGTATCACATTTATATAAATATGAAGGGCATTACAATACACACATCTACATACAATCATACTGGAACATACAGACATTACACATATATCCATGTTGTATATGTGTTTGAATTTGTTGTATGTTGTATGGAATATGCGTGTCTTGTGGTTTCAATCAGCTAATATCTAATTGCTCTAGGTTCTATGGATTATTTTTCTATATATTGTATATTTCGTGTGTGAAAAAAAAAATTTGATGAAAATAATAATAAAAAAAATGAAATATCTCAAGAACTATTAGAGATAAAGTTATGATTCTTTGAGGTATAGATTCTAATGTAAATTTCTGATGGAAATGTTTAAAAAATAACTAAATAAAATTAATTTAATAATAATGAAAGTAAAATTTTGCCAAAACTATTAAATTGGTCTCAAATATTTGATAAAAATGTGTTATCAATAAATTCCTTGAATTACTTTATTAAAAAATCAATTTTGAATCAATTATTGAAAAAATATTTAGTTTATAAATCGAAATAATTGAGTTTTTCACTGAGTAATTTACTACTAAAACCAAAAAAGTAATTTTAACATTAACTTTATTTCACACACAATTATACAATATATCCTAAAAAGCTATCTGTCTACATATCAGCTCTAATTCTAATCAGCACTTGTCCAAAGCATTTAATTTATTTCCCGCATTTTGAGGGTGACTTAGTGTGACAAAGGTTGATTATGGATGGGTGCTATTTTCTATTTTCGGTTAGTGGCTACAACAAACCGCGTCGGTTGACAATGAGGGGCGGTTAATATGTGCGCAGGTATTTTTAGCTCACGTCAAAACGCCTTCAAATTGATTCAACTGCCTAATGAGTAGCGTGTGTACGTTGATGTGCGTAGATATTCATGTTGTTGTCAGTTGAAAACAACAATAACACCAACAGAAAATAGAAGCAAACATAAAAATAACTCGCGGTTATAAATATAATGCGCCTGGCTTTGCTTCTCATGAATTCTTGTATGAATATATAGTATAAAAAGACAACTCGGGGTCGTTACGATTATGATGTTATCATCATCATCATCATGAATTTCATGATGTGGAGGAGATAAACTGCAAGAAACTGCAGTGGGCGTAATGTGACGCCGCTGCCGTCGACGAGAGAAGGTTGACGTTGAAACAGCTTTGTCATCGACCGACAGCCGCAGTCATTTGTCGCCATCCTGTCTGGCGGCGGCGGCGTGATAAAAGCACGCCGGGGTTGCTCATCGATTAAGCGTCCCGGGAAAGGAAGTATTAAAGCTTTGGATTCAACTTTTATTGCATTCAGAATATGTTTTTTCAGAATAATTTTAGATTGAATCATGAATTTAATATTAAACTATTTTATTACGAATTTAAGTTTTATACCTGTAATTAATAAATAATTTCTTATCTGATAATGTCATTAGGTAATAAACTAATAAAATTTCAACATAAACTAAACTAATCTATTCCTGTAATATGAATTTAAAGATATGAAGTGTAAATATACTAATTATTGATAAATGATAGTGATATGTACTTGGAAAACTCATAAAACTCATACAAAAAGAGCGCCGCATCTTTTTATATCCCCTGAGGTCAGATTGTCGAGTCTGGCGACCCGATGTCGCTATTGATTTTTCACATTTTCCGCGCTTCACGTGACTAACCGGGCCTACGTGCCGCTTTCCTCGTTTTCCGCCGATAAACCAAACGCTACGCATAGGTCCACCTGGCGTTGAGCGGCGAAAGCTCAAAATACGCATTTTCCGCGATAAACTCCCGAATTTTCCGCGTGCTCATACTACGTAATCGTCAGATGGCGCGATCGCGCAGTGTATGCTAAAGTATGTACAGAAAAAAAGGAAACTGTTTTCGATATTAAAAATATTTAATATTTTAATATCTTAAATTTGATTGAGTGAAGTATGAGATCGTCTGGATGTGGGTTTAATGCTGACCATGCTCGACATGCACTACTTGCAATGGAGAACAAACATGCAAAGTATACAACTAAAGTTTTAGACGAGTGATTAATCACTGATATCATCATGATTGTATATGCACACGGAATATTCATATTCACGTTTGGGAATTTTACCAAAACAAGTCAACGACTTTACACGTGGACAACTTTAAAAGCTGTTGACTTATTTTTCAAGATTGATTCAAGATAGATAGATATGAGAAATAGTTGAAAGTTTTTCGAAACTTTTCGCTTACCTTTCGCTCGCAATGGAAGAGTTGCGCGACATCGATTTCGGAGACATCTCAAAGTCGCTGTCGGACCGATAGAGGAAGCTCTCGCGTCGCTGCGGTAAATTCTGGAGCACCAGACCAGCAGACGGCGAGGCCGCCCCGTCCAGCGGGCTACGGCCGGGACTGGCGCCATTTTCCACATCAAAACTACAAAAAACACAAGAGAAATACGTTAGTATAATCAATATAAACAAGAAAGAAAAACATGAAAAATTACACGTAATATTCGTACAAATATTTATCCACCTTACATTGCTTTCAATCGAATTCGATCGACGTGTTTCCTCGGTATGAAATCAGAGTTACGTCGACCGATAACCAAATACCGAACTTGCACCGACATTTCAGTCTTCATCGAGGAATCGTGATTGTTTGCTTCTAGTACGCCAATTTTGATATTGCAATTAACTGCGGGCGCTGGAATGTTTGAATATTGCGATAGTTTGAATTGAAATGCTCGAAATTCGGCGGACTGTCGAAACTCGCCAGACTCACGCGCCGAATTCGAGACCCACGTTCGCGCTATCACAAATCGTTTATCTCTTTATTTGCTTGATAAATATTATGCACGCCGTTTGCGCACCACACACACGCCGCCGCCAGCAACGTGTCAAACACAAAACTTTGGTTTTCCTTTCGTTTTTGAATTACAAAACAATATGCGCATAAATTAAATTTAAAAAAAATTAATTTTTGAGTTTAAACCAGACTTATGATAAGAATTAATTTGTAGAGATTTACGAAACACACACAAAAAAAATTAACATGAGTGATAAAAATACAAGAGGTATAATTGCGCTGCGTTATCATTTACTGCACATGTGTTATCATCTCCTTGTATATTATATAATTTATGAACAAAATGTTTTTTGCGTTTTACACTTGAGTGGATTATGTGAATTATCGTGTCCCTTCGGTAGTAATACCTGCCAGTCGTCCGCCGGCGATCATACGTCAGCGGAAACCGCCTGGTATGCCGGCGCACTTGTGATGACCTCGCTGAAGACCTTCGCCGTCTGGCGATGATCTCCGAATGCCGACGCGAGGACTCCGACGCTGATTGAAAAGAAGTGCGTGAGTCGCTCGAGTCGACCTCGTGCTCTGGTATCGCTTCTGAGTCCCTTCTCGACATGTCCGAAGACCACAACGAGGTAACCGATGCACGTGAGTCCATCGAACGTTGTCCGATGATTTCGTAGCGGCGACTGCTCGTTGAATACGAAGAGAGTGATGTCACCGAGTGGCGACTCTCGGACGCGCCGCCATACTCCACCGAAGAGTCTCGCGAGTAGGAGTATCGTGAAGGCCCCGAATGGCCCGAGTATGAATACCTCGTGACCGATGACAGTTCGCTTGGATGCTCCGCATCGAGATCCAAGTCTGGTGAATGTGAATTGGAGTTGGTTAAACCCTCCTGTGCTTCGGGATCTACATCCGCATCGGGGTCCGGTTCTGGTGACGGTGTTAATGAGCTGAGAGTGGGTATGATTGAAATGGTGGAGGACTCGTCTTCGATGTGATGACGATGGAAAGGATCTTGATGTTGATGATGATGATGGTGGTGGTGTTTGCGGTGTAAGGATGTGGTGGTGGTTGGCTTGGGGGAAGCGGGGGTGTAACGTAGGCCGCGTATGAGGGACCATAGCCAGAACAATATCGTTATCATTGTTCGACGATGGCGGCGCGCCGACGATGATGCATTATCGGGTCACAACGCCTGGTGTGGATGTTTTCACTCGCGCCCGCCGCGACGAGCAACCAGTGCTTGTGCTATTGATCGGCGGTGGCGGCGGCGGCGGCTACCGGGGCACCTCAGCGTCTCATCCGCGATCACAATCACTCCACACTCACGGCCAGCTGATTCGTGGAAGCCGTGGCCGGACTTTACTGTCATACAATCACTGCACTTTGCACCATTGCGCACTTGAACCGTCTCCTAACCCATAAAACCATCAACATTTGATAGGTTATAGGTTATGTTATTCACATGCCCGCCGCGTAGTGCTCGTGCCTGTGGTGGAGCTGGTGTTTTCTTGCGTCTTTGGAGGCGGCGCAGGAAGAAATCGTAAACACTGGTCGCGCGCCACATGCATCACGTGATACAAATGTTTAATGTGTACCCGATGACTTGCGCACACACGGCGTGGAGGCGGGCGGGCGCCTGCAAACGGCGCGGCGCGTTTTGTTGCTTTCTCGCGATTAAATGTCAGCGTCGGCGGCGGCAGACAACGCGGGATTCTCGCCGTCGCCGCCGTGTGCGTTCGGCGTGCGTGACTCGGCTACTCGGCCGCCGCCGTCAGTTCTGGGGGCGGCGCGCGCACCTTTCACCCACATTCACCAACGGCCCAGTACCATTAAATCCGCCAAAAGTAACACTGAACTACTAAACTATTAAATAAATTACATTTTATACTCATAGAAACTTTTTGTAGAATGAATTTTAGTATAATTGATATTAAATTTTGATAATTATTGAAAGCTCAATGTAATCTGGGCCAAACTATGTTTACATATTGTGTGCACAATGTGCGCGTCAACTGTTGGTCGACCTTGGCGGCGGTGGCGGTGACGGCCCCCTATGGTGGCAGCATTTCGCGGAATCGACAATTTTCATCGTTCGTCCGGCAGACGAGCGTAACGATAGTCGATTCGAGTCGCCGCGCCACCGCCTCCATCGTTACCACCGCCAATGCGCAAGTTCCAGATACCAATTTTGCTTATTCATCAATAATCACAATCAAAATCAAACTTATTAAATTAAAATTTCCAACTTTGCACAATCCAACCAAATTTTATACGCGTAGAAGTGATTCTGCGTTAATAAAAATTCCAGCACTAATACGATAAAAGTCAATCCCTGGTCTAGAGAATTTTTTGTGCCAAGGGTAGTTTTTACGTCGTCTCGTCGACGATGCAATAAGCTTCAATTAAGCTTTCAATTCGAGTGCGCGTTTGAAGGGTCTTCTCGTTTCGTGTCACTGGAGCGAGATTAAATAGAAACATATTTTCGTCGTTTTTTGGCTGTCGTAATTACAAAATTCTTAAATTCCTCAAGCGTTTAACAAAAAGCGTGTCTCGCATGCGGCAAATTAAGGGCGTGTTTTCAATTCACGTTGCGAGACATTGCCATTTGCATAAAGCAATTATCAAGTTTAAAGATCTCTTTCACTCCCGCGGACTTTTTTCCCTATGCAACAAAGAGCAATATCACCTTACGAGTAAAAAACGAAATTTATTAGCTTATGACGTCATAGTTTTCCATTTCGTGTTTACCGCACATTTCCATGACTTGTTTTTCCTTTCAACTTTTTCCCCCTTTTTGGAATTTACTTTGTAAAACTAGCAGGAAACTAGAAGGAAACAAAAAACGCTTTGTGTTCGGCGAGGCAATAAAGATTTGCCAAACGCGACTGCAAGTCTAGCGCTTTCCGAGCTTTTCCGAGATTATACATTTTTACAACCTACACACACACACACATACATACACAATGCAAAACTAATGAAGTCGCGCGAGCTGGAAGGAAAACGAAACGATGATAAGTCGTCTTCGTATGTGCTGGCGGCGGCGGCAGTGGAGGTGGCGCGATGACGTCAAACGGCGGCGCACATCGACGTCATTCGCTCGCTCTCTCGACCTGCTTTTCCCTCTTACCCCCGCGGAGCCGCCGCTGCCATCAACTCGAAAGCACACAGAGCGTAAAAGTACTGGAAACGTTGAGATGGTCTAATTATACAGGGTGTTTGAAATTTAACAAAACAAAATCTAATTTTTTTTCAAACTTATTTAAATTTTGTTTGCATTCGAAACACAGTGTATAATTTAGGCAAAGAAAAAATTAATGATAACGAGTCCCTTTGTAGTTTTGTGAAAGTGAGTCCAAGCGTAAAACAAACTCGCTCGAGAGCTGCTTTGCGAGCTTCTGAAGCTCTCAGCGCGAAACCTTCAAAAGCATCAAAACATAAAATGGAAAATAGAAATGGATATGCAGACTGGCAGAGGGTAAGAGGTTCATTTCCCAACCCAAGCGCACAAAATTAACGAACATCCTCTACGCGCACCCAACATCTTCAAATTTCCTCTCACATACACACATGAAATGAAAATATTACCAACGCAACACAGGAAATCGTCAATAATGTGAATTTTTCACATCCGTTGGTACAAAATAATTTAAATGTATATTGTGGAGGCGCCGGTCTGCTACGAGTACTATACGAAGTCAATCAATATTATTTTATTCTCTAGCGAGAATATATTTTGATATAAATCTCACCGTGATGGATGAACTCTGAGAATGCCGGGTCCGCACGGACAGCAGGTGGCGTGTATACCGCCGCCGCCCGGCGGCCGCTTACGCTTCTTCCTCGTACAAAAATCTTGCCCCATCTGCGGCTGATCTTGCAGCTGGTGCTTGGCGTTGTTGTTATTGTTGTGCTTCGGTTTCGATTTTCGTTTCGATTTCGCAAACTTAAATTTGGCCGTGCTGGCCCACCAATCGCCGACAAAGTTCCTCGTTAGTCAGGACCTCGTCAACCAGGGCCGCGTCGCGTGCCACGGCGTGCCAACAACGCCATTGCCGCCCCCGGAGCAGACAAGCAGAAGCAGATGCATCACTTGGCAATCAAACGTGCTGCCATTTGATGCCACCTCGCGCGTTATGCACACGAGACGGAAAACGAGAAAAGTGCACTAATCAACTCAATTCGTCCTTGAACGCGGGCAATCGTCAACACGTGTCAGGTTACAATGTTATAATCGTACAATGCACAGACACTACGCACTGTTTACACCAATTGATTTAGGAAATAATTCGGTTTAGATATCTAGACGAATTTCGAATGCAATTTGCCGGAACCAAGTGAAAATCGCCACACGATCAGATGTTGTCTGGCGCGCGTTATCGCACAATAATAAAGCATCCCCGCCGCTAACGCAGCGGCCGGCGCGACAGATACGCCCTCAGCGGATATAACCCCAAATATCCCAGCAGCCGGCAGGAGCACAAGGCGGCCATCTTGGCGCGTCCGCCACGCACTCGCAATCAACAACGCCAGCGAGCGCGCAGTCACGGGACGCCCGCAGGAACGACGTCACTACTACCCTAGTTTACGCGTCCTGAATTCACCCTTCACGCTTCCACACGCTC